AATATTTGCAAATTTTTCGCTACAGTGGCGCCCCAAAAATCAGCAATTTAGAAGCAGATTCCAGTTTTATTGCATTATCTCGTCACTTATACATTTTATCGCTAAAATTCATTTGCTAAACTGAAGGCCAGAAATTCGTCTACTTATTATGATCTATGCACTTTCTACGTTCTTGCCACCTTTTAGCCACAATGGTAGCCCAAAGGTCGGAAAACGTCACGCAAACATTTTTGATTTTTTTTTTTTTTCATCAATGATCTTCAGTTCCTATTATAAGCGCCCTTGTAAGCGCCTATCTAATTGATTTATTCAAACAGTATTGGGTATATACGAGGGGTGTGACACTTCCAAGTATTTTGTACACCTGATTTCTGATTATCATTACTTTAATGGAAATCAATGAAATCAGAAATTAGATTTGGTAAAGTTTCATGATTTCACTTGATTTCAACGATTTCCTCAGATATGTGATTTTACTTGATTTTGCTGATTTCACTTGATTTTGTAAATTTCATTGATTTCTCTGATTTACATTAGGTAAGTCTCTTTCTGCAGAAATCACAAACCAGTCAGAGTGAATTTCATTGGTTGAAACTAGTTTTCTGACTGTTTCTGACTGTTTTCAACCAATTAAATTCGCTCTGACTGGTTTGTGATTTCTGCAGAAACAGACTCAATGTAAATCAGGGAAATCAATTAAATTTACAGAATCAAGTGAAATCAGCAAAATCAAGTAAAATCACATATCTGAGGAAATCGTTGAAATCAAGTGAAATCATGAAACTTTACCAAATTTAATTTCTGATTTCATTGATTTCCATTAAAGTAATGTTAATCAGAAATCAGGTGTACAAAATACTTGGAAGTGTCACACCCCTCGTATATACCCAATACTGTTTGAATTCAATTAGATAGGCGCTTACAAGGGCGCTTATAATAGGAACTGAAGATCATTTATGAAAAAAAAAAAAAAAAAACAAAAATGGAGTTTGCGTGACGTTTTCCGACCTTTGGGCTACCATTGTGGCTAGAAGGTGGCAAGAACGTAGAAAGTGCATAGAGGATAATTAGTAGACAAATTTCTGGCCTTCAGTTTAGCAAATGAATTTTAGTGATAAAATGTATAGGTGACGAGATAATGCAATAAAACTGGAATCTGCTTCTAAATTGCTGAACTTTGGGGCGCCACTGTAGCGAAAAGGTTGCAAATATTAAAAAAATGCATCAAGACCTCATTTGCAAAGCATATGGTGGCTTTCCATTTCGCATAAATTTCCTTCCCATACAATGCATAGGTAACGAAAAAATCGCAAAAGAGTGGTTGCGACAACTTCCATAAGGGGCGGGGGTAGTTTCCAGAGGGATGATGCAATAAGTAGATATATTTTTGGAAAGCTTATTTGGTGCGCTACTGACCAATGTGAAACAAAAAGCCAAAAAAAAATTTAAAAAAAAATTCATCCCCTCAATATTCTTTTTCCATCTAGAGGGGTTGTACTAGAAAAATGCTTTTGGTTTTTATGCATATATGTCGGAGGTGTGCACAAAATAATATTTGAACCATTCACATAGCGGGCATTGTGTGCGAGAAAATGATAAAAGAAGGCATTTTTTTTCAACTTTTATTTTTTTGGGGTGGTTCCAGGTAAAAAATTATACGAATTTCTCAATATCATTCCTACGTCAATAATTCCTGAAAATTTGAACAGCCTAGCATCAGCCCTCCAGATGATATGAAAGGGGGTTGTTTAAATTTCAACACCCTGTATATCTTAAACGGCTAAATGTTTTAAAATAAAACATATACCAAAAAATCGGCCAATTATTTATGAGTATTTGCTGTATGGTTTGTAGTGGATTCGCTTTACTGTTCAGTAAAAAAATAATAAATTCTAAAATATCTTTTTTCAAGGTCATTCAACTTTAGAGCGCCACCCCGACTGAAGGGTAGGTGATAGACATATGCTGTCGCTGGATAAATTGTAGAGAATTTAGTCCTCTTTAATTTACTATGAAGTTATTTTTTTGTTAAACGTAGCGTAAGCGCCACGTTTCAGAAAAACCGCAAAAAACGACCTTTAGGGGGATGAAAGGGGATGTTCCAGGGTGAAATTTTGTTGGAAAAAGTTAGACCCATAATAAGCAGCCCTTGTTCTACTAGAAAAAAAATTAAACAGAACTTGTGTCGAGTTTGCGAGGTTCAACCTCTCTTTCCTGGCCTATTACTTGAGGGACTGAAGTGAGTGCGTCTTCTTGTATTTTGATTGTTGGTTTTTCAGTGATATTTTCGTACTGCTGCTGCATTTCGTTGTTTGGAATTTTGAGAAATATTAATTCTGAAATATATCTTCAGATATCATTTTTTCTTCATGTAGGTCTTGGATGGCGTTCCAGTACTAAGAATGAGTAGCCATAAAACCCTAGTCGAACCAGATGTCCATGTACTAGAGGTATTAATCTGCCAATATTTTTTCGTTCGGCAGAAGAAGCTAAATTAGGGCAGTATAGAGATCGCCGAAGAAAGCCTGAACGCAGAGGCAGATATTTTCGAGAAATTAGAGGCGAAGTTTCAGAGATACTTCCCGAAGGGACAGTGCGAATCAAGAACCGAAGCAATTGAAAATGGAACGTGGCTGGTTGGAAAATGGACGGATGGGAAGAAATTTTTGTTATGCCTGAAAATAGGTCTGTTCGCACAGCAATCACAAACTAGTCAGAGCGAATTTCATTGGCTGAAAACAATCCGAAACAGTCAGAAAACTAGTTTCAACCAATGAAATTTACTCTGACTGGTTTGTGATTTCTGTGCGAACAGACCTGGTAGGTACATCAGATCGATAGTGACTGACCAGAAAAGAGTGCAGTAGGCTGGATGATATCAAATATGTCTTGAAGGAATTGGCGAACCTAGGAACAGACTCCCCAGTTGGTAAGTTGCACCAAGAGGAGTAACAGGTAGGCGTTATCTGATTCCCTATAAAAGAGAATTGCAGTAGATAATGCAGGCGTAGATAATGCAGTGCAGCCTTCAAAACTAGTCGAAAAATAAGTGCCTCATTTCTGCTATAGACTATATTTCAGAGTAGCCACGAGCATTACTGAAAAAATATCATAGCCAGATATGGTGTACCGATCGATGGTTGGAACTGAGGAATGTTGAGTTCGAAGAAATATAACACTACACTTAATCCGACAGATTGGTGGAGAGGCACGAACGAACCATCAATACCTCTGGATGCTTTTGGATGAACACCATTGAGACTGGGATAGACTCTGTCTTTTAGAATCGAATCTCTCAGCATAAATCCATCGGTTATAGAACATCCACCAATGCTTTTTAAAAGAAATGTTGCGTAGATCTAATGCTTGGCCGGCCACTAGCCGATGAGGACGAAGCTGTAGTTTTAGTCTGTAAAGCTGGTTAGATCTTCTGGACTGACTTCAGGATTTCACTAGGAATAGACTATGCCTGAACAGTGACAAAATGAAGATGAGTCTCGACAAGGGGCAGTCATTTAACACCACTGATAAAGGCGGCGCTGTCTGTTTGCATCAGCCACATCGAAAGTGACTATGGAATAACGATCAATTATTAAAGTATTTGTTTAATTAGTCAAACTTAATCAAATTCAAAGTGTTGTAATAGTGCAAGTTTTTTCCTGAGTTTTGTGATATTCTCTTGAAATATTTCTTTTTAAGTTTGGAAAAATAGTCTAACTTCTCCCCGAACCCGCTTACGTAAGAATACCTACCTATATTCCGCACATTGGCCTATGAAATTTGAATTTACAATTCCGTTTCCGCTATATTTTCTGCAGTTGGATTGGGTGAAACAACCTCTTGGTACAAAGAATATCTTTCATTGCATATATTCATTAATCCATACAACATAGCGAGGTAACAAATTGACCTGGATAAATAATGCAGAGTAAGGACATTGTGAACTAATAACAATTGCGATACTTATAATATTATTATTATACATTAATATAAATTCAGGGAATATGACCTGCGGCCTTATTTACTGAAAGGCTTAGCAAGAACCGCAAAATATTTATCAATAGCATTTATTCAATGATTTATCCCTTCACAATTTTCAGGTGCTGCAAGCGCATAAATGATAGAAAACGTAAAAAATTGAACGGCAGCTGAAGCAAAATTTGTATTTATTTTTTAAATTGGAATTCCATGTTCAGATTATTCTGGAATTAACGGTTCTAGGTTCGGAAATATTTTTGACGTAGGTACTCAAACGGAGGGACAAAATTAGTCGTAGCACAGTTATTGGTACATACTGTCGTACTTGAACAATAAGAATTTGTTGATATGCCATCATTGCAGCTAAAACCACTTTTGGATCCATATGTTCGGGCAGGTTTTATAATCTGCTAACTTTTTCTAGCTGCGGAATTGTAATAATTGTGATTAATAAAATAATAGTGGACAACGGCAAGTCATTTATTCTGATTACCATCTCCCGATTGGAAAAATATTGAAATATATAAGAAATAATATAACGAGGGGTGAATTTCTTTTCCTAGATAATTTATCTGCATTTGCTTTATGGCCAATCAGAGTTCATACATGCATTACTAAAGGGCGTTAAAAATTTTGCAAACTTCGATACTCAAGTTGCGCTTGTATCGACTGTCATCTCTTGGGAAACTGAATAATTATATCATATCGATCGATCACTTGGTATCGGACACTTCTGCCGGTAACTGGCTAATTTTACAGGTACCCAATTTAATTGTCAGAAACCTTGCTATATGCATCGAGCAAATGAAAAACAAGTTATGAAATAAATACAAAAATCACTTGTTATGCCTTATTTACTTTTAGTGAAAAAGACGAGTACCATGTCTGAACATTCACATGTAACCATACTTACATAAGAAGATACTTACGCGTTACGCGTAATCTCGTTGTGGACCTGCGGTACTGGTTTGACTCATGGATTTTACTAATTTAATATTATGCCGATATCAATGAGTATTAGTTTCGCTTTGGTTTTGCTCAGTCGGTTAGTTCTCGCGTCCTTTTATTTTATGTAGATGCTTTTCACCCGTTTAATGGGTCATGTATGGATTCTAGGAGTTAGAACAACAAATAATTCGGTAAGGGAAAGTTTTACAGGATTTACAACCCCTTATAAGTGTAATATGGTTTTGGAATAGTCATTATAGTGTTATAAATTTTATCGATTTAGTCCATTTAGAATCTGCAGGTGCAGATACCTACATACTTGAAAATCTAAAATCAGATTTTAATGTCGTCTTTAAACAAAATTGTGTTGAAATGTATGCATTCTTTCAAATAATGCATGCATATCTTGAAAGTAATTTATTGTATTAGATTGGTATAGGCACCTACTGATAATTTTGGCTAATTCGTTTTTTATTCATTTATCTACAATGCAGTATTATCTGTAATAACGAAAATTCATGATTTTCTTTCTTTTGTTCTTTCGAATTATACGCTGTGAGTAATTTGCAGTTAAGCCAAGGTTAGAAGAGAGAATCTGAGAAAAAAAACATAGGCGGGACATAAATACATAATTTTTTGTTAAAATTTAAGAATTGAAAGGTTTCTTGAGAAGTTCTTTTTTTTAAAATTTAATAATAAACGGATATATTTATTAGTAAAGGATTTAAAAAAAATACTTTTCAAGCAGGTTTCTGTGTGGAAAAATTAAGCTAGGACATTGGGTCATGTCTCCAAGAGAACCAATCCTAACTTTCGAAATGCACTATTTTTGCAATTATTTAAACATTTGTTTACGTTTACGAGTATTCAGGAATTCTATTGTTATTTAATTGAAGAAGTATTTACGGATTCTAGAGAAATCTCGAATTTAATGTTTTCGTACAGGTACATACATATAGGGGCGTAGTATGTCAATCATTGTAAATAAGGGAAACATTGTATTAACTTGAGCAAAAGCGATCTGTGAATTTTATAAAATCAAATTAGTTCAAGAAAAGCTGTTTTGTTATTAAAGTGAGTTTTCAGTCGAACCGCGGATTAATTTAAGCGAGACAATTGGTGTATTAATTGGAGATTAATGGTGAAATAATTGGCGAGATAACGAGTGGACTAATTTCTGGTTTTTGGAGAGATAGTTATGATTGATGCGAGCTAATTAGTGAACTTTTTCTGGACTGAAATTACTGATTTTAACATCGAAAAACAAGTCCACTGAATGAATTTTCTAGAACATCCTCTTGCTTTCTATTTGAAAATTGGACAAGGTAAGGGAATTTTGACTTTATATTTAAAATCCAGCTCCAAGAAATATACAAATTATTCTATGGTAAATACACGACAGCCAACAGCCGAAATGGAGCAAGTTAATTGAATGTTGTGGACCTAATGAAAAATAGGAACAGAGAAGCCGAAGACAGAGAAAAACATAAGAAGAGGAAGCTAGCAGACAGAAAGAAAGGTAATAAAAAGAATCCAGAAGACAGAAAAAAAGCCGAGAAGTGTCCCGAAAACGAGAAAATCTGGAATGGCATGCAGCATTCAAGAAAAAAGTGGCATTCTGAAGGCAGAAAGAAAAAGAAGAAGAACAGGATCGACTTCAGAAAAATTTCAAATTTCAGCGAGAATCGATTAAAACCGTAATCCCAGCGGAACAAACCAGACTCGAAAAAATCCTGATTGGGCAAAAAAACTAAAAATCAAAAATGCAATAATGGAAGAAGTAGGTGGACAACCTGGGAGTATGTGTGAAGAAGTAGGAAGTTGAAAGTTTCCGAAGAGATGGAGAGTGTTCAGAAAAAAATTGAAAAGTTGAAATTTGACTTGAGATCGGGAAATGTCTCAGCTTCGCTCGAGACCGGTATAAAGTTAAACGACCACACGACGGTCAGGCATCATGTGCAATGTACAGCATCAGTTCGAGACTCTTGTAATAACTGGTTGGGTTGGAGCTGTGATGACATGTCTACAAGCTTGATCGTTGCATTATCCGAAGATTTCCGAACCAAAGATCAGAGTGGTGTCAATACTAGAAGAAAAAGAAACAATAATAAGGGAACTTCTGAAAGAAAAACAAATGGTTGTTACCCTGATCACACAGGAGAGCTTGAAAGGAGCCCGGAGTTTCACTGCTACTGATATTTCACCCACCTACTGGTGACTCTCAGCCGAACAATTTTTAAAACAAACATATCGCTCTGGTGAACTACATTAAAACGCCATATCCAGCTGGCTATGCCCAGTTCAATGCATGAACACTGCCTGATAATTATTCAACGTGAAAAAGTGCCTGTTTGAAACGGAGCAGGGGCAGAGTTCCGAACAATAGGAATTGGTCAATTAGAAGATAAGGACGTCAAACCATTTTCGAGCATCGAGTAAACCGCCAATAGATCGCCAACAACCTGAATGGACAGGGAGGAGACTCATTTTTTAGGCATAGGCGATGTGGATGAATGGAGGATTGATGATGGATGATTACGATTATGACGAAGAATAAAGATCTAGAGGACATTATTGCCATGGCATTGACATGCTTCTAAGGACCCCGTTCTTTTTTGCTTTGGACTGATCAGTCATGCGGCCAGTTACAAATCAGTTAATTTCTTCAAAATAGCTATCTCAATAAAAGAAACATGTAGACAGGGAGTACAGGGACACACTCTTCACGCCGGCCGCTGGGGTCTATCAGGGCGACTTTTCAATTAAGACAAAAATAAAATACCACAGGAAGTAAAGGAGTAGACATTGGGACAAACATTAGGACAATTTCTTTATTATCAAATTTTTAAATTGGTTTTATGTAGAAAAGACATTATTTCATTATAAATATCAGGATTTTTAAGCGATAAGTGATTTAAATTAAAAGGACGACTACGACTTTGAATTTTTTTGTAAGAGCGTCATGCGTCATATAATTGCTGGATTTGATCTGGATATTTGGTACACTAAAAGGAAATGTGATCAAGGTGTTCTCTTACTTGGCAGCCGTCACACTGATCAGAGGGTGGAACACCTATTTTGTTTAAATGTGCTGGATAACAAGTATGCCCAAACTTGAAACAAGTTAATGCTGCCACATATCTTTTGCTGACATAGTAATTTTGGTGCCAATATTTATTTGGAATACTTGAAACAAAAAGAGAGTATTTTCAAAGTTTTCAGAAAAAAATATAAGTTGCCGCAGTGAGTGTCGGCACTTTGAAATTCGCATATCAAAAGCGTGCCGCCTAGACGCCGGCGCCTGTCTGTCTTGTGGTTTTACAGGGGGTCTTAATATAAATAATAATTAAAGCTTTCGGTCAAATAATGATTTATATTGCAGTTTTATTTACAATTTTAAATGTTATTTTAATAGACATAAATTATAATTAACTTTTGAACTAGGGGTAGAATTTAAGAGTTTGTCACGTAGATAAAAAAATTGTTCCACTCTATAACACAACTACAAAATGCTATGACGCATGGAGCTTGAGCCACTGTGTATGTGCCAGAGACCCGACCGGTACCCACAATGTCCCAGCCGCGGTGGGACGTGAGGAATAGGTAAATCGGGTCATGTGATCGAGTGCGGCAACTTATATTTTAATTCTGTAAACTTTGGTATTTTGTAGTAGAATTTCTACAGTAACTTTGCCATCTTTGATTCCATTTATGATTTATCACTGATTTAATATAAACACTTGCGGAAACCTGAAACCCATAGTACCTACTGCTGGTATAGGTAGATATACATCAGCTGTCCGACTAGTGAGGTTGGGACGGATCACGTTGCAACAGCAAGTGGTTCTGACTCTGACACGATGCCCACCACACAAATTAAAGAACATGCTGCGAAAGCGACAACCATAGACGTTGACAGCGGACGCGGAAGGGATGAGTGGATCACGGTCATAAACAAAAATAATAAACGAAAACAAAATCGTCCAAAACCGATTCAGGGCACAAAAGAAAATGGAAATTGTCTTACTGCCGCCACAAAATTATCATGGATTTTTGTCTCTGGTCTTGCACCAAAACTCGAGGGCAAAGATATTGTGGATTATTTGAAAGAAAAACATCCTAGCGGAGACTATGTTTGTGAAAAAATGAGAACCAAAAAGGATAAACTTCAAAGTTCTTTCAAACTGGCTGTGCCTACTAATCTCAAAGAAGAAATAATGTCACCCAATCTATGGTCTAGAGGCACTTCTATTAACCATTTTATGAATCTCCAACGCCGAAGTCGCACGACAAGTCAGCGACACGGGGGACAATAATTGAAGTTCAAAGCAAGGAAGCCATTCAATCCAAGAATACAACTAATCCAACAAAGCAACTCAAAATATTGAACATCAATGCAAGGTCCTTAAAAAACAAGTTGCTGCAATTTGAGGCGTTTATTGTTGATAAGAACATCGATGTTCTCTGTGTAACAGAGCATTGGATGTCAGAAGAAGAAATTGGCACATGTAATATTAATGGATATGATACTTTGGGAATTTCTGCAAGAAAGGACTCTACTGGAGGTGGCACGGTAATATTTGTTCGTGATGTTCTGAAAAGAAACGTAAAAAAATTTAGTATAGATTATAATTTAGAAAAATGTATAGAGTACTCATGTGTTTTTATAAGTGATTTTAATTTGTATGTTTTAGCAATGTATAGGTCTCCTTCGGGGCATTTTGACACCTTTTTGACAAATCTGGACCATATACTCACTATTCTTGGAACAAACAAAAAGGTTATTCTGGCTGGCGATTTTAATGTGCATTTTGGCACAAATAACCCAACTACACTGCAGCTGTGTGACACATTGGCTGGGTTTGGCATGAAACAAACAATAAATGAGGCAACCAGGCAAAATGCTTGCTTGGATAATGTCTTTGTGAGTGCGGGCATGGATGTTGATCACTGTCAGGTAATAGATCTTGATATATCTGATCATCTGGGCCAAATTGTTAGTGTTTCTATTTCTTTAAACAATAGCTTACCTCAAACAAAAAAGAAATTTAGACCAATTACCCAAAGAGGATTATTCCTGTTTTACAATGGTCTTTCTGAAAGAACATGGGATTTTATTGATTGTGGGGATATGGACGCTGATAGTAAGTGTGGAAGATTTGTGAATGTTCTGAATGAGCTCTATGTTGAA